AGGGTTTCTACACCTTCAAAGATGTTGTGGAGGCTTCCCAGCGCTGAAAGTGAAGACCAGCAGCATGAAGTTGCGACATTGCTTCAACATGCTTTAGCAGAACACTTTTTAAATTGTTGTATAGATACAGAATGTTACGGACATCTGCAACAGTTTCTTGACATTTCTTGACCCAGAAGCCTCTCAAGCCATGGGAAAAAAGGAAGATGCGCGACAAATGCTGTCAGGTGCAATGCCAAAGAAAGGAGCAAAAGTGAACTTGGCAAGTTACTTTGACACACTTCGACTGCCGAATCGAAATGGTGTTTTCATGTTCTTTCGTTTTTTTTGGTCGAGGCCTGTGGAGAGTCTTTTCACATGCTGCAATCCGGTGGTTGAATGAGGCGGGGCTTAAACATGGAGGGGTTTTGATGCCATTACACAATGCCAAGATGTCATCTCTTTCATAAGCAGTTTCTTCCTGTCAACAAAGTACCCTCCTGAAAACTCAGGTTTGGAAAACCCACCTGTAGATGATTTTCCTGGGAAAAGCAGGGTTTTTCCACATCTGTTTGTAACCCAAGGCATCGGCCAAATCGCCCAAATCCGTGAGATGGAGCATGTCAATGCCAGGAGCTCAAAGAGCGACTGCCGAATTTGAACACTGTATAAACATTATAAAACTGTATATCATAAGCATGACATTGAATAAACTGGGATTCAGATGGATTCAGAAATTTATGGCAAGGTCGCAAGAGGTGCTTTTCTCTGTAGCCATGAACTTGTGGTGACAGCCAATTTGTAAGTTTTTTTTCGTGTAAACAGACGCTCTCTATAGTTATACAGTTATGCAGATGTATAGAGATGCTGCAGTTGATTGTGTCAAGATCAAGTCGTACCTCTTCAAATGTCATTGGCTCAAGCCAATTTTAGCGGCTTGTTTTTTGAGCAACTCCGGCCCACTTTAGAACTTTTGAATTTTTGGTGGCCATGGTGCGTGGAGCAAGGAAAGCTATTGCTGTCGGAGTTGCGGTGGCTGTCGCATGCGGTCTCCAGAAGCACTTGAATTTCGTGCCTGGGCCTCGGCATGCTGCTCCAGTGGCCGCAGCAGCAGCCAGCATGATGATGGCTCCTGCGGCTTTTGCTGATGAGATCGGCGATGCTGCAAAGAAGCTTGGGGATGCTTCCTACTCTTTTGCCAAGGAAGTAGACTGGAACAATGGCATTTTCCTGCAGGCCCCTGGCAAGTTTCAGCCCTTGGAAGCTTTGAAAGCCATTGACAAGATGATCGAAATGGGGGCAGCCGCAGATCCCAAGCTTCTGAAGGACGCAGCAGAAGCACATCACAAGGCCATTGGGAGCATCAGCGGGCCAAATGGTGTGACTTCGCGCGCTGACTGGGATGCGGTGAATGCAGCCATTGGCCGTGTTGTCGCTTCGGTCCCCAAAGCAAAGGTCATGGCCGTTTACGATTCAGTAACAGCCATCACGGACCCCGGAGTGCCAGCGTACATGAAGTCCTTGGTGAACGGACCCGATGCCGAGAAGGCCTACCAAGGATTCCTGGAATTCAAGGATGTTGTTGAAAAGAACCAGGTGGCCACGGCCAGTGCTCCTGCAGTTGTGCCTTCTGGAGACAAAATTGGTGAAGCTGCAAAAGCCTTGTCCGATGCATCCTACCCTTTCATCAAGGACATTGATTGGCTGTCAGACATTTACTTGAAGCCGCTTCCCGGCAAGACTGCCCCAGAGACGCTGAAAGCCATTGACAAGATGATCGTGATGGGCGCGAAGATGGATGGAAACCTCTTGAAGGCAGCAGCAGAGGCACACCACAAGGCCATTGGCAGCATTGATGCCACTGGTGTGACGTCTGCGGCCGACTACGAAGCTGTGAATGCAGCCATTGGCCGCTTGGTGGCATCCGTGCCGAAGACAACTGTGATGGATGTGTACAATTCCATGGCCGGCGTGGTTGATTCCAGCGTCCCCAACAACCTGTTTTCGAAGGTGAATCCATTGGATGCAGTGGCTGCCGCCAAGGGTTTCTACACCTTCAAAGATGTTGTGGAGGCTTCCCAGCGCTGAAAGTGAAGACCAGCAGCATGAAGTTGCGACATTGCTTCAACATGCTTTAGCAGAACACTTTTTAAATTGTTGTATAGATACAGAATGTTACGGACATCTGCAACAGTTTCTTGACATTTCTTGACCCAGAAGCCTCTCAAGCCATGGGAAAAAAGGAAGATGCGCGACAAATGCTGTCAGGTGCAATGCCAAAGAAAGGAGCAAAAGTGAACTTGGCAAGTTACTTTGACACACTTCGACTGCCGAATCGAAATGGTGTTTTCATGTTCTTTCGTTTTTTTTGGTCGAGGCCTGTGGAGAGTCTTTTCACATGCTGCAATCCGGTGGTTGAATGAGGCGGGGCTTAAACATGGAGGGGTTTTGATGCCATTACACAATGCCAAGATGTCATCTCTTTCATAAGCAGTTTCTTCCTGTCAACAAAGTACCCTCCTGAAAACTCAGGTTTGGAAAACCCACCTGTAGATGATTTTCCTGGGAAAAGCAGGGTTTTTCCACATCTGTTTGTAACCCAAGGCATCGGCCAAATCGCCCAAATCCGTGAGATGGAGCATGTCAATGCCAGGAGCTCAAAGAGCGACTGCCGAATTTGAACACTGTATAAACATTATAAAACTGTATATCATAAGCATGACATTGAATAAACTGGGATTCAGATGGATTCAGAAATTTATGGCAAGGTCGCAAGAGGTGCTTTTCTCTGTAGCCATGAACTTGTGGTGACAGCCAATTTGTAAGTTTTTTTTTCGTGTAAACAGACGCTCTCTATAGTTATACAGTTATGCAGATATATAGAGATGCTGCAGTTGATTGTGTCAAGATCAAGTCGTACCTCTTCAAATGTCATTGGCTCAAGCCAATTTTAGCGGCTTGTTTTTTGAGCAACTCCGGCCCACTTTAGAACTTTTGAATTTTTGGTGGCCATGGTGCGTGGAGCAAGGAAAGCTATTGCTGTCGGAGTTGCGGTGGCTGTCGCATGCGGTCTCCAGAAGCACTTGAATTTCGTGCCTGGGCCTCGGCATGCTGCTCCAGTGGCCGCAGCAGCAGCCAGCATGATGATGGCTCCTGCGGCTTTTGCTGATGAGATCGGCGATGCTGCAAAGAAGCTTGGGGATGCTTCCTACTCTTTTGCCAAGGAAGTAGACTGGAACAATGGCATTTTCCTGCAGGCCCCTGGCAAGTTTCAGCCCTTGGAAGCTTTGAAAGCCATTGACAAGATGATCGAAATGGGGGCAGCCGCAGATCCCAAGCTTCTGAAGGACGCAGCAGAAGCACATCACAAGGCCATTGGGAGCATCAGCGGGCCAAATGGTGTGACTTCGCGCGCTGACTGGGATGCGGTGAATGCAGCCATTGGCCGTGTTGTCGCTTCGGTCCCCAAAGCAAAGGTCATGGCCGTTTACGATTCAGTAACAGCCATCACGGACCCCGGAGTGCCAGCGTACATGAAGTCCTTGGTGAACGGACCCGATGCCGAGAAGGCCTACCAAGGATTCCTGGAATTCAAGGATGTTGTTGAAAAGAACCAGGTGGCCACGGCCAGTGCTCCTGCAGTTGTGCCTTCTGGAGACAAAATTGGTGAAGCTGCAAAAGCCTTGTCCGATGCATCCTACCCTTTCATCAAGGACATTGATTGGCTGTCAGACATTTACTTGAAGCCGCTTCCCGGCAAGACTGCCCCAGAGACGCTGAAAGCCATTGACAAGATGATCGTGATGGGCGCGAAGATGGATGGAAACCTCTTGAAGGCAGCAGCAGAGGCACACCACAAGGCCATTGGCAGCATTGATGCCACTGGTGTGACGTCTGCGGCCGACTACGAAGCTGTGAATGCAGCCATTGGCCGCTTGGTGGCATCCGTGCCGAAGACAACTGTGATGGATGTGTACAATTCCATGGCCGGCGTGGTTGATTCCAGCGTCCCCAACAACCTGTTTTCGAAGGTGAATCCATTGGATGCAGTGGCTGCCGCCAAGGGTTTCTACACCTTCAAAGATGTTGTGGAGGCTTCCCAGCGCTGAATGTGAAGACCAGCAGCATGAAGTTGCGACATTGCTTCAACATGCTTTAGCAGAACACTTTTTAAATTGTTGTATAGATACAGAATGTTACGGACATCTGCAACAGTTTCTTGACATTTCTTGACCCAGAAGCCTCTCAAGCCATGGGAAAAAAGGAAGATGCGCGACAAATGCTGTCAGGTGCAATGCCAAAGAAAGGAGCAAAAGTGAACTTGGCAAGTTACTTTGACACACTTCGACTGCCGAATCGAAATGGTGTTTTCATGTTCTTTCTTTTTTTTGGTCGAGAGTCTTTTCACATGCTGCAATCCGGTGGTTGAATGAGGCGGGGCTTAAACATGGAGGGGTTTTGATGCCATTACACAATGCCAAGATGTCATCTCTTTCATAAGCAGTTTCTTCCTGTCAACAAAGTACCCTCCTGAAAACTCAGGTTTGGAAAACCCACCTGTAGATGATTTTCCTGGGAAAAGCAGGGTTTTTCCACATCTGTTTGTAACCCAAGGCATCGGCCAAATCGCCCAAATCCGTGAGATGGAGCATGTCAATGCCAGGAGCTCAAAGAGCGACTGCCGAATTTGAACACTGTATAAACATTATAAAACTGTATATCATAAGCATGACATTGAATAAACTGGGATTCAGATGGATTCAGAAATTTATGGCAAGGTCGCAAGAGGTGCTTTTCTCTGTAGCCATGAACTTGTGGTGACAGCCAATTTGTAAGTTTTTTTTTCGTGTAAACAGACGCTCTCTATAGTTATACAGTTATGCAGATATATAGAGATGCTGCAGTTGATTGTGTCAAGATCAAGTCGTACCTCTTCAAATGTCATTGGCTCAAGCCAATTTTAGCGGCTTGTTTTTTGAGCAACTCCGGCCCACTTTAGAACTTTTGAATTTTTGGTGGCCATGGTGCGTGGAGCAAGGAAAGCTATTGCTGTCGGAGTTGCGGTGGCTGTCGCATGCGGTCTCCAGAAGCACTTGAATTTTGTGCCTGGGCCTCGGCATGCTGCTCCAGTGGCCGCAGCAGCAGCCAGCATGATGATGGCTCCTGCGGCTTTTGCTGATGAGATCGGCGATGCTGCAAAGAAGCTTGGGGATGCTTCCTACTCTTTTGCCAAGGAAGTAGACTGGAACAATGGCATTTTCCTGCAGGCCCCTGGCAAGTTTCAGCCCTTGGAAGCTTTGAAAGCCATTGACAAGATGATCGAAATGGGGGCAGCCGCAGATCCCAAGCTTCTGAAGGACGCAGCAGAAGCACATCACAAGGCCATTGGGAGCATCAGCGGGCCAAATGGTGTGACTTCGCGCGCTGACTGGGATGCGGTGAATGCAGCCATTGGCCGTGTTGTCGCTTCGGTCCCCAAAGCAAAGGTCATGGCCGTTTACGATTCAGTAACAGCCATCACGGACCCCGGAGTGCCAGCGTACATGAAGTCCTTGGTGAACGGACCCGATGCCGAGAAGGCCTACCAAGGATTCCTGGAATTCAAGGATGTTGTTGAAAAGAACCAGGTGGCCACGGCCAGTGCTCCTGCAGTTGTGCCTTCTGGAGACAAAATTGGTGAAGCTGCAAAAGCCTTGTCCGATGCATCCTACCCTTTCATCAAGGACATTGATTGGCTGTCAGACATTTACTTGAAGCCGCTTCCCGGCAAGACTGCCCCAGAGACGCTGAAAGCCATTGACAAGATGATCGTTATGGGCGCGAAGATGGATGGAAACCTCTTGAAGGCAGCAGCAGAGGCACACCACAAGGCCATTGGCAGCATTGATGCCACTGGTGTGACGTCTGCGGCCGACTACGAAGCTGTGAATGCAGCCATTGGCCGCTTGGTGGCATCCGTGCCGAAGACAACTGTGATGGATGTGTACAATTCCATGGCCGGCGTGGTTGATTCCAGCGTCCCCAACAACCTGTTTTCGAAGGTGAATCCATTGGATGCAGTGGCTGCCGCCAAGGGTTTCTACACCTTCAAAGATGTTGTGGAGGCTTCCCAGCGCTGAAAGTGAAGACCAGCAGCATGAAGTTGCGACATTGCTTCAACATGCTTTAGCAGAACACTTTTTAAATTGTTGTATAGATACAGAATGTTACGGACATCTGCAACAGTTTCTTGACATTTCTTGACCCAGAAGCCTCTCAAGCCATGGGAAAAAAGGAAGATGCGCGACAAATGCTGTCAGGTGCAATGCCAAAGAAAGGAGCAAAAGTGAACTTGGCAAGTTACTTTGACACACTTCGACTGCCGAATCGAAATGGTGTTTTCATGTTCTTTCGTTTTTTTTGGTCGAGGCCTGTGGAGAGTCTTTTCACATGCTGCAATCCGGTGGTTGAATGAGGCGGGGCTTAAACATGGAGGGGTTTTGATGCCATTACACAATGCCAAGATGTCATCTCTTTCATAAGCAGTTTCTTCCTGTCAACAAAGTACCCTCCTGAAAACTCAGGTTTGGAAAACCCACCTGTAGATGATTTTCCTGGGAAAAGCAGGGTTTTTCCACATCTGTTTGTAACCCAAGGCATCGGCCAAATCGCCCAAATCCGTGAGATGGAGCATGTCAATGCCAGGAGCTCAAAGAGCGACTGCCGAATTTGAACACTGTATAAACATTATAAAACTGTATATCATAAGCATGACATTGAATAAACTGGGGGATTCAGAAATTCATGGCAAGGTCGCAAGAGGTGCTTTTCTCTGTAGCCATGAACTTGTGGTGACAGCCAATTTGTAAGTTTAATAAGTGTAAACAGACACTCTCTCTCTCTATAGTTATACAGTTATACAGATGTATACAGATGCTGCAGTTGATTGTGTCAAGATCAAGTCGTACCTATTCAAATGTCATTGGCTCAAGCCAGTTTTAGCGGCTTCTTTTTTGAGCAACTCCGGCCCACTTTAGACCTTTTGAACTTTTGGTGGCCATGGTCCGTGGAGCAAGGAAAGCTCTTGCTGTCGGAGTTGCGGTGGCTGTCGCATGCGGTCTCCAGAAGCACTTGAATTTTGTGCCTGGGCCTCGACATGCTGCTCCAGTGGCAGCAGCAGCAGCCAGCATGATGATGGCTCCTGCAGCTTTTGCTGATGAGATCGGCGATGCTGCAAAGAAGCTTGGGGATGCTTCCTACTCTTTTGCCAAGGAAGTGGACTGGAACAATGGCATTTTCCTGCAGGCCCCTGGCAAGTTTCAGCCCTTGGAAGCTTTGAAAGCCATTGACAAGATGATCGAAATGGGGGCGGCCGCAGATCCAAAGCTTCTGAAGGATGCAGCAGAAGCACATCACAAGGCCATTGGGAGCATCAGCGGGCCAAATGGTGTGACTTCGCGCGCAGACTGGGATGCTGTGAATGCAGCCATTGGCCGTGTAGTCGCTTCGGTCCCCAAAGCAAAGGTCATGGCCGTTTACGATTCAGTGAAAGCCATCACGGACCCCGGGGTGCCAGCGTACATGAAGTCCTTGGTGAACGGACCCGATGCCGAGAAGGCCTACCAAGGATTCCTGGAATTCAAGGATGTTGTTGAAAAGAACCAGGTGGCCACGGCCAGTGCTCCTGCAGTTGTGCCTTCTGGAGACAAGATTGGTGAAGCTGCAAAAGCCTTGTCCGATGCATCCTACCCTTTCATCAAGGACATTGATTGGCTGTCGGACATTTACCTGAAGCCGCTGCCCGGCAAGACCGCCCCAGAGACGCTGAAAGCCATTGACAAGATGATCGTGATGGGCGCGAAGATGGATGGAAACCTCTTGAAGGCAGCAGCAGAGGCACACCACAAGGCCATTGGCAGCATTGATGCCACTGGTGTGACGTCTGCGGCCGACTACGAAGCTGTGAATGCAGCCATTGGCCACTTGGTGGCATCCGTGCCGAAGACAACTGTGATGGATGTGTACAATTCCATGGCTGGCGTGGTTGATTCCAGCGTCCCCAACAACTTGTTTTCGAAGGTGAACCCATTGGATGCAGTGGCTGCCGCCAAGGGTTTCTACACCTTCAAGGATGTTGTGGAGGCTTCCCAGCGCTGAAAGTGAAGACCATCAGCAGCATGAAGTTGCGACATTGCTTCAACATGCTTTAGCACACTTTTTAAATGTTGTATAGATACATAATGTTACGGACATTTGTAACAGTTTCTTGACATTTCTTGACCCAGAAGCCTCTCAAGCCATGGGAAGAAAAGCAAGATGCGCGACAAACGCTGTCAGATGCAATGCCAAACGATGGAGCAAAAGTGAACTTGGCCAATTGGAGATTACTTTGACATACTTCAACGAAGTGCCGAATTTGCCGAATTTGAACACTGTATAATAACATTGAACAAACATGAACAAACTGGGATTCAGAAATGAGGGCAAGGTTGCAAGAGGTACCTTTCTAGCACTTCTGAAAGACCTGTGGTGACTTACAGCCTATTTGTAAGTGCAATAGTGTAACATAGTGTAGACGCTCTCTGTATAGTTATACAGATGTACACAGATGCTGCAGACTCAGTTGACTTATCATTTTCTTATTAATCTTTGAATGGGCAAAACAAAGCACGAATTATGGAAACATAGTGTACACGCGTTCACAAGAAACAAGCAGCGGCTGCCACATTTCTTCCAGGTTGATACTGGCTTCTCTGTGATTGTTGGCCTTTGCATCGCTTGTTGGTACTTTGACGCTTGGACCCATCGCAGAAATGGGTTGGGCTGAAGCCTGCTGTGGAGATTTTGGACGTCTTGGACTTTCCCTCTGGGGTTTGGAACGTTGCCATGGCAGATGTTTTTTTTTGAGTTTGAAGCCTGGCTCCAGCCTCCATGATGTGTCCATGGTGGCACAAAGTTTCACATCCCAGTCCTAGCTCTGCCAAAATGCTGTTGTTACTCGCGTGGAAGTACCGAACCTTCATCCATTCAAGTGTAAGTGTAAGTGTTGGTGTTGTTGTTGTTGTTGTGGTGGTGGTGGTGGTGGTGGTGGTGGCTGTTGTAGTTCTCGTTCTTGTGATGATAGCGATCTTGTCGCAACCACTGAATCTCTAGATTTCACCAAGTGGCGTTCCCAAGGACTGGTTTTCCGTTCGCAAAACCACTGGCGTGGAGCGGCTCAGCCGTTGGCTTCGAGCGCGTGAGATCGCGGTGGTTGGTAGCTCGGGGGTTCAAAGTTTGTGGAGATCCTCTTGTGTTGAAACTGTGTTGTGCCCGTTGCAACAAGTTCACACTGCAGATTGCAAGCGCTTCATAGTGCTTGACTTTTATGCTCAGGTGTCTTTCATTTGCAGTGTAGGCAGCCTCTTGTCTTCCGCTCAGGTTGTGTTTGAGTTGGACGATGTGATGTGCTGCAGGCTCCGCCTATGGCCATAGTTGCATGCTTTGCATGGTTTCATTTTGCGAAAACTTGACCCTAATTTCTAATGGGGGAATAGAATTTAACCGCAAGAACAACATTCAGCAAGAACAAGTTCTTGCAGAGCACCCACAAATATCTTACCGCCATGTTAATAATCTATATATATATATATCTATAGATATGATAACATATACGTGTATACTATGCACTCCATATATAACCATCTCCAACAACAACATTCAACAGCCTGGCAGGTCACGTGGAGATCGCGGGGTGTCGCTGTTTCAGCTTGAGGACCCACCTGGGATCGGCAGGTGATGATTAAACCCCCATGAACCTGATACATATATGATATACAACATTATATATATATATATACATATATATATATATAATCATATGATATATGTATAATTTAATATATATATATTTATTATACATACATTATACGTATCATTAAATATGTACATGTAAGACACACACACACACACAATATCATTCTTTGCAGCCAGAAAATTGGAAGGAACCATTGGCCCAAGCGCAGGACTACTTCGCTGGCATCAGCCAAGACTTCGCCGAGGTGGCCCCTGCCCTGGCGCGCCGTGGCTACTTTTTGGCGGTGGTCAGGGCCGCCCAGCGGTGCCAGCGGTTGCCCATTGGGGATGGTGCAACCATCCAAATCATCCAAGGCATAAGGAGCTTTTGGAAGTCATGGATGACCTTATTTTATAGTGTTGAAACATGTTGAAAGCCATGGTGACTTGGGGATCCCTCATTTTTGAGAAACCCGCAGAGTACGCAAACGTGACAATTTCAGGGATACCGTCATGAGATCGGTCATGTTGGTGACCATATTGACCATCTTTGGCCAGCATTTTGGGGCAGATGGTGGAGTTTTTTTGCTGAGGTGATTCGTGGTTTTCATCCTGCCAATAGGGAAGAAAAGAGCACAGAACTCGGAGAATGCAGTGAGGCACCAGATGGCCGCTACCTGTTTCCTTGCTGTGAAGTTGTGGTTATCACTGCATTAGTTGGTGATATTGCGAGTTCTTGCAGTGCAGGGTACAGCAAAAGTACCAGATTTCATATGATTTCCATTGATTTCCTTATATTTACAGACTTTTTACAGTGTCCAAGGTAGCCCATCCCGATGGTGGAGAAAAGAGGTCGCAGAGGCCTTGGCAACCTGCATCCTCGGTTTCTCATCGGGCTTCATTACATTTTCTTCAATATCCGACTGGTCGTCAATGCAGTCGGCCTAAAACATTTAATCTCTATACAATCGATAACAATGGATAGCTGCTATAGCTACTAGTCGCACATTTCAATACATTTCATTTTGCTTCACATGAAGGCCAATGCGACAATCCCTTGGGTTCTGTTTGTAATTATTTGATGTTGAACAGCATGCAGGAAGCGAAGGATGAATTTGTGGATGGCCCGGCAACCCACATTATGTGAGGAAAAGTACGTTGCCGGCCTGACGGATTTTTGACGGTTCTGGAAGGTAGAACTGGTTTTCAAGACCTGTGCCTGGACTCGTGAAGCACACTGTCGGGTTTCAACCTGGAAAACATGTTTTGCAACCAGGAGACAACATAGACAACTAGCAACAAGGAGAACGGCATAGAGCTGCAGACATTTTGGCAGCTCAGGCCCCGAGCTGGCGCGAAAGCTGATCGCGCGGCGCTGCCCGGATGCCTTGCCCAGTTTTCAGGCCACCCATGGCCACCCTGGCAGCCCATGGGGAAGGTTCCTTTCCGGAAACCCAAAATAACCTATGGATCCTATGGTTTCCACGATTTTTAAAGTGTCAGGTCTTCCAATTGGGTTGGAGGTTGGGTGTTTTCTATGCTCGTGAGCATAGACCCGCAGGCCATTAGCACCACCCAGGACAGAAAGGCCCACCGGTGTGCGGGGGGATGGGGTTGGTGATGATCCATGGTGACAGCTGGTGACAGCTTTGAAAACTGGTGGCCGTTTTTCACATCCAGGTGGATGGCTCCAGTCTTGAGGACGCCATGCAACAAATTGCCAAAGAGTACCGGGTGCCGGCCTGGAGACTCAATTATTATTGTGGCATATTGTGGCCTCCTGCCTTGCGACGAGAAATGACAACTGAGCTGCTGAATTTGGGCTTTCAGGCCATTGACCTCAAGGTACTGTAAAACCAGTTGGTGTTGTCTTGGACTGAACATCGACCGTTATTGTAGATTATGGAGCTGGGTCCCCAAATTCTGAAGCACGCCCAAGTCAGCAAGCAGATCCATGGGCCGCGGCTCCGGCTTACCTCAGGCGAGGCGGATGGTGCTTTTTACGGTCAGCTGCTTTGCCTCTCCATGGGGTAGTGATAGAGACTTGCGGTGCTTTGAAGTGTCTTGCCACATCTTGCGAATTCTCCTGGTACATGTTTGAAAGAGACCACGGATTGCACTTCGCTTAAACTTACTGTAGATGCACCCAAGACTCACAGGTTTGGAAGGCTTGACAGAGAGCTGAGGGCAGTTCTGAATCAGCCCCCAAGATCTCTGGCCCCTGACGCAAGTCCAGCGTTCTCCTATACCCAGGCCTCTAACGCATTTGAACAAGATGGACAAGATAAGACCTGGACAGGCATTCACGTGCCTAATCCCAAAGAAGGCTCTCCCAGCAGCAACTGACCACAGCCTGTTGGCTCGCAAGTTGCATCAATTAAACGTACGGGTGTGTTTTCTCGAGCCTGGGGCCTTTTGTCTAGAGTCTAGAGATGTCTAGCGTGTTCTTTCATTTTGTTGGATGACATCCGACGAAGCCAACATATCAAAGAGGGAATTCATTCTGTTTGCTGCTTTTTGCGTTTGGGTGCAACTGGAGTACTCCCAGACATTGACCTGCCATGACTCACGGGTCAAGAGCATCAACCTTCTGGGCACAAATCGGAAAACAACCAGTCACATGATTTCGGAGATCTCTTCCGTTTGTTGCAAGGCTTCAGACACGATGATTACCAGCTACCCACAAGTCTTGATGAAGGCAAGGCAGGGAGGTTTCAGAGCAGTCTCCAGTCTGAAGTTTAAGGCTCTTTACCAAATGATTTCCAATATTTTTCTAGGACCAGCGGCGAATTGAGGCTACTTGACGCTGCTTCCAGCTGTGTTGGAACAGGTCCGTGGTCGGGGTGGGAGCGCGTCGGACGTGTGGCCTTTTGAGATCATTGAATGGAATTGGAGTCAAGAATGGATCTTGTCACCAGTGCTTTTTAGACAAGGGCACTTTCATTCCTGGCATCTCTGTTTGGCTCATCCCGTTCAGTGCCTGACATTACCTTGTGGTGTTTGGACCTTGTATGTCAATGTAGCCCGTGAGACTGAGGCGTGGGGTTTTGTCGCCAAGAGACTTTAAGACGGTCCGGCGATGGAAAAGGAGAAGAATGCTCAGAAGTGCTTGGTTCGTTGTCGATTGATTTTTCATTTGGTCATGCTAAGTGTGGGAGGGATCACTGATATAGGCTTGGCCTTTGCTGAAACATCCATGAAATACATTGAAATGCTGTAGACCTATAAGCTTGGCAAACACATGCAGAATTTTGAGAAGTAGAAAATAACCAGCCCAGTTTTTTGGTAGGTCTTCCAATATGAGCAGCACCAAGAACCTCCATGAAGGGATTTAGTATTTCATATTATGAATACTACATCATACTACTCTGTCTATACTTTCTTTCTCTGTGGACTCGCTGATGCAATGCTGCCCTTATGAAGCTTTGGCTCAGACAGTAGAAGCTAAACAGGTGAAGCTGCTGCGCGAGGAACAGGGCAGTTGGTTGCATGAACGGCCACAAGATGCTGCAAGTGCGGTCAACGACTACAAGCCCCGGGTCATGCATACTGTAGCCATAGTAGAAGACGCAGCTGAAGAGACTCTCTCTTTAGAGAATGGCTGTGCGCCATTAAGGATTGTAAGCCCGCGAGAGCAAACCGCAACAAGCCATCAGAAGCCCGTTAGTTGTTGCTATGAGACCCCACCGTTGATCCATGGCAGTGGAGGACTTGGGTTGGTCGTCGGCGCTGATGCGGTCGGATGTGACAGAAGTGTTTTATGTTGTCTTGCGTCTTGTAATATCCTCGGTTGTAGTGATTGTGACGGATACTTTCAACTCTGGCACCGTAGACACAAACAGCAGCAAACAAATGTGGATATCAGGATGCGTCTCCCACCCCTGCGGGGGGTGGACCTGCGGGGAAGCTCTGAAGTCGGAGGGTACGCGAAGGGTCATCAGATTCCAATCCTGACAGCATAGATTCAATGCACACTATAGTCACTATAATAGCTTTTGGATACACCCCAAACAACCATATACGTGAACCACAAACAGCTGCTGTTTGTTCCGTCATTTTCTACAATCACTGGATATACATGCTATACAATCACTGGATACTTTTAATGGATTTGGACAGTTGTTTTCTGCCGCGTGCATGGTTTTTGAGGCCGCAGCTCATTTCCTCAACTTGGAAGGCACCTGTGGGCATTTGTAGACACGAAACATGCGATTCGAAGAAACGAATACTGAAATGATATGGGCGGAGAACATCGAACCAGTGATTCCTGAAGAAGCTAAGCATACGACGAATGGTCAAAATTTCAAGCCCTGGGAGCCACAAATTTTGGTCACGGTCTTGGGCGTCATCCAAAGTTGGAGCATCAGCGAGGGGTTCCCAGCGCCAGGCAGGCAGAGCGGGTGTCTACTTGGAGGCCTGGATGTCTTTAGCAAGGACCAACCTCCAGAGCCTAAAGATCCACAACTGCAGCAGCTGCACCACGATTTTCGTCCATTTTTTCCATTTTGTTTGAGACTTCAACATGCAAATGTCTTCCAAAATCACTGCAGGGTTGGCAAATTGCCTGTGCATGGATGGTTTGGTGCATTCCTATACAATGGTGAATTGAGCTGTTCAAAGTAATTTTGGCGGCTTTTGGCCAACATATTCCTTGGCGCCAGAGACTCTGTTGGTGGTCATTCCACATATTCCACGTTCAAGCCGTTTCAACAGCAGTGGGGCATTCACCAGTTGAAGTATACCAGGTAGATTTTGGGGAATATCAAGGAGATTCAAGGAGAAAATATGAACAAAACCAACATAACATCATATAACATCCATATCGAATTCCAGAAGTCAGAATCAATGCCTGCAGCTGGAGGCAAGTCGACCAGCAAAGAGTGTGGCCCTCGGTGTATTGGGCTGTTCCCGGGTGGGTCCTTCCACAAGCTGGGGAAGTGCGAAGCAGCAGGACCCCCCCAACAGACCTAATTCATCTCCAGATACTTGAAGGTGATGTGAAAAAAACAACACCAAAGGGGACATTTACTAGCCCCTGTTGAACGTTTAGGATCTCAGACCTTGTATTTTGGCGTGGTGAACATTTTGAGCACCATGATTTTTGATGGTAAATACATGCAACTAATATGTATATATATATATATATTATATATATATATCATTATATATCTTATATATATATATATATATTATATATATATATATCATTATATATCTTATATATATATATGTATATACATACATACATTTGTAAGCAGTGCAGGGGTAGAGGCCGTCTCATTTGCTTGGGAGTGTCATGATTCAGAATTCATGGATTGGGAATCCCTCTCAGCCATCCAAAACGAGTATCTATTGGATAGTGATAGTGCTTGCTTGAGATTGGGCGATGAGTCCCTTGCCAAAAATGTGGTTGGGCCAGATGGTTCCATGAAAGTCTTAGCGTTTTGAGGGGGACCGCCAGAACCCGAAAAATCAATTCTAAACCCCCAAAGAGCCGCTCCACCACAATCATTACAAACCACAAGTAGTATAAACCACAATCATTGTAAATTGTAGCATTTGATTTACATCCTTGTCATATTTTATCCAAATTTATTGCACACATGATGCTGTACGTTGAAAACGCACATCACTTTGCCAGATTGAACTAGATTGTGCATTTGAAACAGTGTCTTTCAGTTCTGGACACAGTCACACGCATGACTTTTGTTGGACAACATGCTGCGAACCTTCCACCGTCATTCAGCATGAGCCCTAACACCTTGTTGAAAGCAGCAACTTGAAACCTGACATCTTCCCAGCTGTCCATGAGGAGCGTGCCCTCCTCGCCGGTGGCGGGAAAGAAGTCGGCCTTGAAGAAGACGCGCATTGCCGAGGCCCATGGACAAAGCTGTGGGCTGTGGGTTTTTTTAGATGTATTTTTCTGAGTTGTTCATAGTTTTCCTCCACGATCCTATTCTTTGAAACTATAGATACTATAGCACTTGAATGCACTTGACATCTTGGGAGGTAAAACGTGCGTTTTTCATCAAAACGCAGGTCAGTTCTCATCCCAAAACTCCGTTCCCAAAAGGCAGCTTTCATGTTTTTTCATGCGGCTTTCCAGCAGCTCGGCATGGCTACAGGAAAAACCCAAGTGTAGCGAACGCTTCATGTCGGCGTTTCGGGACCTTGCGCAAGCTGGCCTGGGCCACCTGGGCCACCTGGGCCACCTGGGCCACCCTGGGCCACCTGGTCTCCGCAGATTTGGTGTCTCTATGCGCATCAAAAAAAAGAGATGACTATCATCGTGACATAAATTTCCCATGACATGTTTTTTTTCCGTAGTGACTATAAATAGTGACTATAGATGAATCCAGGTTTTTCGGCACGAATTTTGTGACATTCCATACCTTCAGGAGCTGCTACGAGCGGCCAGTTCTGGGTTCTTTGTGTCCATTCATGATTTTGGTGCAGTGACAAAGAAACCAGTGATGCTGGCGGAATCTGGTGAATGTGAAATCATGCAACATGTCAGGCCCAAAACCCAAACTGATGAATGTAATTAATGCAGTCCATTCAATTTGATTGATACAATATTATAGAATCAATTCTGAGATGACGATTTGATATCAATGGATTGGTTGAAGGGAACATTTACAGAAAAACACATTAAACAACCATATGGACCATATTTGATGGGAAAATCCATGGTTTCCGGTTAAGATTTTCCCTTAAACCAATCCATTTGATGATAAACATATCAACATGTCCAGCAGCCTTGCCGTTGAAGGCAAAGAGCAAACCAGTGACGAACTCCTCGAAGAGTGCGGGCACCCAGTCACGTTGGGGTGGCGGGAGGCCTTCACAGATCGCGATGGGTCAAGCTTGAAGACAAAGGGTACCACAACATATATGTAATGATGATATATATATATATACAATATATATATATATATTTATAAACTAGATGTATATAATTTTATATAACACATTTTTGACATTTTTTGACCACTACAGTCACTACATCCAGTAGGTGTGTGGGATCCATCAGCCCCTCAGGTGTGCCAGACTGGCCGAGCAGCTGGAGCCCTTGGCTCGGGCGCCCAGACCCATTCACCGGTTATTGTTACCATAATGGGGGAATTTTAGCATCAAAACCATCAAAAAATTCACCGGCAAAATATAGGGTATCAATGGGTATCAATGGGTTTGACCCATAGCCAAATCACAGCTATTTTGCTGTGAACCACCGATTCCATGGCTTTTGACAGGTGAAGGAGTTGTGCGAGAAATCCGCAAAAGCTGGGCTGGGCGACGACGCCGAAGCGCGCCGCCGGCGTCTCAGGGAATCCATGAGCTGGAGAAGAAAAAATAATATCAATATCCGTTAATATTATGTATATGTATATATATATATATATACGTATGTATATATATATAATTATACTACGTTCTAAGGGAAAATCGTCCAAGAAAAGTGGAACTTCTGGGTTTCTGGGTTTCCAATTTGAGTTGGGATTGGCTGTTGTTTATTCAAGACACATTAGGACATCGACCCAAAGATTGCCCCGGGCAGTGAAGCGCCTGAGGAAATCTGAGCAAAATCTTGTTCGATGGTCCGGAGAAGGCTGTGGAGCCGGCTGAAAGGGCTACCAACTAAGACACCAGTGGAATCTATAGATTTGTATGCTTTTGTTGTAGCTTGAAGTGACTTTGTTGGAGCAATATTCAACCCAGTATGCACTGGAGTAGGGTTGCCGAATTCTGATAAAACTTGGTTGGGTGCATGGGAACGGACGACCTGCAGGAGAAAGATTCGAGCAAGGCGGATTTGGAACTCAACTTTGCATACGTGAAGACCGTGAAGGGTGAATTGCATGACATGAGCCCACCATATCCCACCATGTGATGCACCTTCTGACATCACTTGTTTTAGAGATTTTAGGGCATGTGCTTCCTGATGGATCCTGAAGGTCCCCAGTTGCCAGGCGCGAAAGGGCACCACCGTGTTGCAGTTGGCGGAGGATAGCTTGAGGCGACCCCAGGGCCCTGGGGGCCGGGGTTGGAGACTTGGAACCTCTGAGATTGCGCCAGGAACACA